CAGGGTCGCCTGGCCTGAGACTCCAGGAGGAGAGCGAGCAGGCATGGAGCCGGCCCTAGTCCCCGCCTTGGAAGGTCCCCCAACCCCTGCTACTCACAAACTCCAGACTTCACTCCTGCCCCAAGGCACCTGGAGCCCTGGGCATGAGCCAGGCACAGGCGTGGGCTCAGGAGACACGGAGATGCCTGGGCACCTGGAAGGATTCACGAGGCAACACGGGAGACAGAGGAGGAGCTGGGTAACAACGGCTCTGTGATTGGACTAGCAGAGAAGGAGAAAGCAAAGGAAGCAGCACTTGAACCCTGCCTGGAGAAACCCAGGAAGGCCGCCCAGAAGCAGCGGCATCTGAATCAACTTGACTGACCAACGGAGGCCCATCATGTTCCCGGCAAAAGGAGCAGCAACTGCAAAGGGCAAGAGGTGGGAACTCACCTTTCATGCTCAAGGAACGGCAAGGAAACTGATGTGGCTGGAGTGGATGAGTCACTCCATGAGGGGGCGGTGGGGGAAACAGACTGAGAAGGCACAGCTAGAGGTAATGCCCTGGAAGAGAGAAACATCGCTGCTGAAAGGCCACAAGGCCTGAGGATTAGGTCGGCTTTAGCCACGGGGAGGTGGTTGGTGATCTCAACATGAGCAAAACTGGTGGAGTGGTTGGAATGGATTGGGGAGGGCAATCAGAGACGGCATCCTTGTACCCTGTCCCTCATTCTGAAGGTGCCACATAGCCATTTGCTGCTGACAGCCAGGGCCAAGGTGTGGGCAATGCCAAGCAGCCTGACCATTAAGTGCTCGCTGTCCCCTTGCTCTGCTCTGCCCAGGCCAGGCTCTGCCGTCAGGGACTGAGGTTCATGTCTGGAGAAGACGTGCAAGGACAAGGGGGGCCCCGGATGTTAACAGGCCGGGGGAAGGCAGAGCTGCTTGATGACTTCATTTGGCTTCTGTCTTTTTCTGCTGGGAGATGGTCTACAAAAGAACATTGCACAGAGGGAATTGGAAGCTAAGATAGGAGGAGACAGAGACGGAACAAGCAGCCTGTGCACGGGATTTCAGATGGCCGGGCTGTGCCCTCCCATTCCGCTCCCGAGCACAGGGCCGCTGGCCTGTGGTCGGAAATTGAGGCAAGAGCATAAAGAATAGAAATGCTCAGAAGGTTTGAGGTGAATGAAAGTCCTAATCTCTAGCCCAGGAAAGCACATTCACAGAAACTACATCCTGACAGAGCCTGTAGCCAAACTCTACCTTCCTTCCATTCTTAAAAGGAATTTAAAAACAAAACACTCAGGACACTGCCTCGAACACTTAATAAACACCGTCATTATAATAATATATATTATATATATACATTGTATATCATAGTTATCATTATTATTCTATAAATTTCCAGTGGTCAGAATTAGGCTCAGTGTGTAGGAGTTTCAGGGACAGGTTTCATAGTAGTATTACAAAGACTTTTTCATCCCCAGAACTGTCTCCAAGAACAGAAATGGGCAGCCTGATAAGATCCTGAGTTCCCCATCACTGGGGGTCCAGGCAGAAGCCAGATAATCTGTCCCAGATTATCTTCCCAGTTGGAAGTTTGGTCTGCCCACAGCTCTGACCGCCTCCTCTGGTGAGCTGACTAATTTGGGCTCTGGTTCTAGCCACTGGCACAAGCCACCCCACTGGACCCAGCTCATCTTCATGCTTGTTTGTCTCCCCTGCAAACTGGTGGCTGGTGGGACAGTAAACCAGTCATCCCTGGGCCACACGTAAGTCTTCTTTTCTGTAAGAACAAAGCATCCCAGGCATGGAGGCTTTCGAGCTAACAACAGTGTATGTACACATGCCAATGGTCCAGAGGGAAAACTATTCCATCCCATTTTACAGTTCGGAGCACCAAGATTCAGAGAGCAAAGGGTAGTGAGAGCCAAGCCTCAAAGTCAAGTCTCTAGGCCACCTCGTTCCACACAGCAAGCAAAGGGCCAGTCCCCTGACAAGCTGTTTGAACCTTTACCCTCACCCTGGTCACTGCTAGTCAGAGGCCTGCATCCTGGCATGTCCACATGACTTCACATCCACTCTGAGTGGCCCAGGGCAAGTAGGTGACAACACTCACTGGAGGTTTCCAGGGCTGTGTTATCTGAGGGCCCAGAGATACAATACCCTGGGCTAGCAGGACTGCCCAGGCCAAAACTCACTGGGGCCCACCTTTCCAATTCCCTCTCATTGGTGAGACGGGGAGACAGAGGCTGAGAGAGGCATGGCACTGTGCCCAACGCCACACAGCAAGGAATGGAAACTGGGTGCCTGACCTTCAGGGTAGAACTGGGCTCTGCCATCCTCATGTAAAAGGAAGCAAGGAGGACAGTGCAGGCCCGCTCAGCACTGGCCCTGCCCAGAGAGGTGAGCAGAGCTGTCTTCCAGCTCACTGACTCCTCTCTCACTCCTGCAGCCTCCCAGAGCTGGGGATCAATCCCCACTGCCTCAGATGGACACCACCGCTGTGACTGCTAAGTGCAGCCATAACGGGGTCGAGTCCTAGGAGTTGTTCCTGGAGGCCAACCAATGTCAGCATCTCCAGGAGATGATCAAGAGCTGGGGCCAAAGGTAACTGGAGCAGGGCCTGCTGGTGTGTTCACTGGGGGTACCCCACTCGCCTCCCTGCAGCACAGGCCTCAGAGAACCCACTACTCAGGGCTGAGCGGGGCAGTGCAGGGCCACAGCGGTAGCACCACTCACCTGACGGGCCTTTGCCTCTCCATCAGCAGCCCCAACTAGTGAGTGGCTGGCCACAGCTCTGCCTCAGGGATCTCACCTGTCCCAGATATATTTCTTCCACCCTGAAGGACTCTCCAGGAGGATGAGGTTCAAACAGACACTTACAAAAACCAGCCACGGGAAACAGCGTGTGAAGAAATGGAAAGGACCCTTTTGGGACTTAGCTCAAGTGCCATCACCTCCCCCAAACTTCTCCTGCTTCTCCCTGCCCCCAGGGGGATGACCCTCCCCCTCCAATCCCCACTGGGGCTTAACCAGGCAACCAGCACAGCTGCTCCTACCCGTGACTCTGGTTTCTTTATCCCTCTGTCAAATTCCTCTCTGAATTCACAGCACTTGGGCCTGGTACAGGGGGGCACCCCGTCTATATCTGATAAACTGGTGAATGAACTGAAAAAAGTAGAACCCCTAATGGTGATAACCGCCGCTAACATTCATCGTTTACGGATCCACGTGCACCGGGCCTCTGTTCTGCTGGCTCCATGCCAGCCCCATGCCAGCCCCACGCCAGGTCTGGGCCTGGGCAGGAGCCATGAAGAATCCAGGAGTCCACAAACAACACTCCCGACCCAACTCAGTTGGGGGGAACAGCTCAGCACGGTCCCCAAAAGACTGCCAGCCATCCTTTCCACTCCTCAGAAGGTGATCTAAGTCTCTGGGAAAACATTCCAGAGAAGCAATCTGCCTCCTTCCGGGATAACACTTCAAACACCACATCCCCGAGCACCAAACCCCAAATCCAGCCTCACAACATTGATGTGTGGGACTGCAAACCATCAAAAGAGAGGCTACTTCCCACACAGTGGCCCCCACTGCCCCAGAGCACCACTGGGCCATGGAGACAAGCCCCAAAGCAGTCAGAAACACACCTGCTGTGTCTGGCACCCATCCACAAAAAAAGGAAGACTGGAAGGAAAGACCCCTGCAAGGGGCCGCTTGTGCATCCCTGCAAATAGCAGGGGTGAGTCTGGGGCCCACTAAGTCTCTCCTCTTTAAGCAGAGATTTTCTTTGAAGAACTTTGCATTTAGGTTTGGTTTTACATACATGAAAGAGTGCTTTAAATGACCTATTAGTTAAATATCTTCAGAGCTCTCCCCTCTCCAAGCCATCCTACTTCACTTTCAAGTACAAGTGATGCTCCCGAAAGATGCACCATGCTGGCCCTTTATGTATACTGCTCCTGGTACACAGCTCCGCCCTGATACCCACAAAGCAGGCAGATTTGAGGGTAAGAAGCCCCAGATTACAAGCACTTTCTCTAAAACAGACAAGAATGAAAGGACACAAGAGGGAGTGTTGGTGAATGTGACGTGGCATGGTTTTCCTCTGTGCTCACAGGCTTCCTTGGTGGTTCAGATGGTAAAGAATCTGCCTTCAGTGCAGGAGACCTGGATTCAATCCCTACATGGGGAAGACCCCCTGGAGAAGGGAGTGGCTACCCACTCCAGTATTCTTGCCTGAAGAATTCCATGGACAGAGGAACCTGGCCGGCTACAGTCCATGGGGTCACAAAGAGTCAAACATGAGTGAGTGACTAACACACACACACAGGACTAGTGCTGTCCCATCAGCACAGCTGCAAGATGGGTTTGATCAAGTCAACCCCATTTCTTGAGAAGTTTCGGGATCCCCAGAGTTGAGCTAAGGCCATGGGGCTACGTCTGCCGACCTCCAGCTGCAGGTAAAGGAGCCTGGCCCTCAGGAAGGGCTCATGAGGACAGACCTGGGTGATGAGGTGAGTCAAGTTGGGGCAGGTGGGAGGTGGTGAGGGGCATGGACCAAGATGCTCATGATCACTTCCTAAACAGTTTTTTTTTTAATGACAAAAAAACAGGCATACCTAGTGCAGAGAAAACTCAGTAATCACAGAAAAGTACAAAAGGCTGCAAATCAAATTATAAGAGCTTCCATCTTCAAATTTTCACAAGGAAGAAGAACAAGCCATTTTGTAGGACAAAATTAATGTAGAAGTGAAAGTCAAGCAACTTGGGCTCAAGGTGATAAAATCTTTGATACTGAGACCTCCTCTCTTTTGGAATGGGCCATCACAGGAAGTAGTGAGTGCCCCATCCCTGGAGGCAACCAAGAAGAGACCACATGAACACCCATCAGGGACACCATGGGAGAGGTTCCAATCACAGGGGTATTATCATCTCCATGTTTAAGATCTCTTTCACTTGTGGGAAAGGAGGCCACCCCATACCACCCGGCATGCCCACCAGCCCTTGTGCCAACTCACCCACAGGCGTATCCTCACTGATCAGCAGGTATGTGTCAAAGAAGTGGTTGGTGAAGAAGGGCAGTCGGTTCACCTGGCCTGGAAGTTAGAGAAGAAGAGCATCAGTCAAGTACCCTCATGCCAATTCCATGCATTCTGCAAGGGGCGCAGAGTAGAGGCTACAGCGGGCACTGACCCTGCATCCGGTGCCACGGCCCCTGGTAGCTCGCTGCTCTGCCTCACGGCAAACCAGGAGTAACTAGGAGGCAGGCAGAAGGCTGTGAGGTCATTTGGTCAGCCAGGCCGCAGCCACGTGTAGCTATTGAGCCCTGGTCCACATTAGGATGTGGTGAAATGTAAAATACACACAGGTTTTTGAAGACCTTGTATGGAAAGTGAAAGTCTGTCAGTTGTGTCCGACTCTTTGCAACCCCATGGACTATACAGTCCCTGGAATTCTTTAGGCCTGAATACTGGAGTGGGTAGCCTTTCCCTTCTCTAGGGAATCTTCCCAACCCAGGGATCAAACCCAGGTCTCCCACATTGCAGGCAGATTCTTTACCAGTTGAGCCAGAAGGGAAGCCCAAGAATACTGGAGTGGGTAACCTATCCCTTCTCCAGCGGATCGTCCCGACCCAGGAATTGAACTGGGGTCTCCTTCATTGCAGGCAGATTCTTTACCAACTGAGCTATCAGGGAAGCCCTGTATGGAAAAGTGAGTGTAAAATATCTCATTCATCTTTTATATTGATTATGTGTGGAAATGATAATACTGTAGCTATACTGGATTATGTAAAATACATTATTAAAATGAGTTGCCCCTGTTTCTTTTCTAATGCAATTCCTAGAAAAATTAAGATCACACTTGTGTCTCACGTTGTATTTCTGCTGGGCAGCCCAGCTACACACAGAATGGGAGTTTGGTAAGGAAAAGACCTGTCTACTTTGTTAACCACTGCAACTCTGGTGCCCAGAATTTGGCCTGGCACAGAGCTTCAAAACTCCTTGGAATTTTTCAGAGCAAGAGGAGCATCTTTTGTTATTCATAAGGAGTTCCTTTGACCACGCCTAAGTTTATGCAATACTTTGGCCACCTGATATGAAGAAATGACTCATTAGAAAAGACCCTGATGCTGGGAAAGATTCAAGACAGGAGGAGAAATGGATGACAGAGGATGAGGCGGTTGGATGGCATCACCAACTCCATGGACATGAGTTTGTTCAAGCTCTGGCAGCTGATGATGGACAGGGAAGCCTGGTGTGCTGCAGTCCATGGGGTCGGGGAGTCGGACACAACTGAGCAACTAAACTGAACTGAAAGTTTATGCAAATGAGGTGATTTTTTTAAACTAAAAAATGTTAAAAGTATGTTAATTTACAATGCTGTGTTAATTTCTGGAGAAAGAAAAGTGATTCAGTTCTTTTCATGTTCTTTTACACTGTATAGTTTATTATAAGATATTGAATATAGTTCCCTATGATGAATGGTAGAACCTTCTTATCTATTTATTTTACATATAGTAGTTTGGATCTGCTAATTCCAAATTCCTGATTTATCCCTCCCCCTACCTTTCCCCTCTGGTAACCATAAGCTTTTTTTTTTTTAATGTCTGTGGGTCTGTTTATGTTTTGCAAATAAGTTCAGTTGTGTCATATTTTAGATTCCATGTATAAGTAGCATCACTGGTATTTGTCTTTGTCTGACTTACTTCACTTAGTATGATAAACTCTGGTTGTATCCATGTAACTGCAAATGGCATTACTGCATTCGTTTTACGGCTGAGTAGTAGTTCACTGTATACATGTGCCACATCTTCTTTATCCAGTCCTCTGTTGATGGACATTTAGGTTGCTTCCATGTCTTAGCTACTGTAAATAATGCTGCTATAAACACTGGGATGCATGTATCTTTTTTAATTAGAGTTTTCTCCAGATATATGCCCAGGAGTGGGAATGCTGGATCATATAGTAACTATTTTTAGTTTTTTAAGGAACCTCCATACTGTTCTCCATAGAGGTTGCACCAATTTACATTCCCACCAACGGGATAGGAGGGTTCCCTTTTCCCAGTGAGATGATTTAGAGTGGAGCCTCTACAGAAAACCTCAGGAAGGGGCCAATCACTAAAGACCAAGTGATTTGATGGGAACTTTCAGTCCATCCCCCACATTAGGGAGGGAAGGAAGAGGGGCTGGAGATTTCCAAGATTTGATGAGCTTCCAGGTTGGTGAACACATCCATGTGCTGGAAGGATGGTGCACCTAGAGAAACACGGAAACTCCACCTGACCCCAGCCCCCCCCCTACACACAGACCTCATCCCCTGCATCTCTTCCATCTGGCTGTTCTTGAGTTGTACGCTTTATGCTTTATATTCAACCAGTAAATGTAATAAGTAAACTATTTCCCTGAGTTCTGTGAGTCATTCTAGCTAACTGAACCTGAGAAGGGCTAGTAGGAAGCCCTGATTTATAGTTTGTTGGTCAGAAGTACAGGTGGCCTGGGACTCACCACTAGCATCTAAAGTACAGCTGAACCCCTAAATCTGTGGACTCTGACACTAGCTCCAGGTAGTTAGCATCAGGACTGAATTGAATTGTTGGACACACAGTCAGTGTCTAGAGAGTTAGAGAACTGGTTGTTGGTATTAGAAAACACCCCAGTAGGCAAATGAGGGCACTTCCCCCTCTGACCCTGCCCACTGGGGGTGGGGGGCTGGCCTGTCTCACATGGGGCCAGCATTGTGCAGCACACACGTTAGCGGCTTCTGCTGGGTCTTCCAGGGGCCCTGCATGTGGATGTGTTGCAGCCCTCTCCTCCCTCATTTCTGTGGACCTGGCTCCCTCAGAGTTTAGGCCAGGCCCAAGAACACAGAGGCCAGCACTTCCCTCATTGCCTGAGACCTCCTAGTGGGGAACAGGCAGGACTAGCAGGATTCCCACCCCTACCTGCCTTCACTCAGTCACCAAGCTGTGTCATTTCTGGTTCTGCAAGCATTGTAGCCTCTTTCTCCCCTCCTGCCCTGGACTTCTGGCCCTTCTGCCTTCTCTTGCCAAATCCCTAAGTCATTCCTCAAGTTTTTGTCTTAGATGTCTCTTCTTTCAAGAAGCCCTCCCTGACCACTGCATTTCATCCACACCCTTCTACCCTCTCATATGAGGAATCTGGGGCTCCTCACAAACACAGCAGTCTCAGAAACAGGCCAGTGGTCAAGGGTTTCCCTTTTGTTTGGAACTTCCCTGCACCTCTTTCTAATCATGCAACCTTCCCTAACCTCAGTTTACTCAGGTGTAGAATAGCGATAACAACAAGACTTAACTTCTTTGCTGTGCTGGGGATTAAACGAGATTACATACGTAAAGCGCTTAGCACCATGCTCTCGAACACAGCAAGCATTCGATAAGTGGTAGCTATGATTAACACCAAGATGGTTAGATAGCATCACTGACTCAATGGACATGAATTTGAGCAAACTCTGGGAGATAGTGTAGGACACAGGAGCCTGGCATGCTATAGTCCATGAGGTCGCAAAGAGTCAGACGCGACTTAGTGAATGAACAACAACAAAAATGAATGACAGTGCTGCCCACGCAGCCAGAGGGGGATGGATCCCTGCTGGGGGACTTGGGCTCCCTGATGGAAAATGGCTGAGCCAGGGGAGAAGGCTCAGAGGTGCCCAGAGAATCTAGGGTGGCCTCAGGCTGGTGGGAGAGGGAAATCAGCCAGAAAAACATCACCCGCAGCAGCATCGTTCTTTTTCAAATTTTGTTTCACACAACCTGCCAATAATCAGCCACTGGGAGTCTTGCACGGGCAGCTGGGCAGAGCCCGGGGGACATGTGTCGCCTGCCACACACCAAGCAGGACCGAGTTCTGGGAACGGGCTGCTACCCCAGGAAGCCCAGCGGCCTTGGGCTGCCAGTGGGGGCTGGGAGGGTCCTGGGAGGAGTGGGAAAGGGGCGGGCCCACAGGTCACTTGTTCGTGTAAAGACACTTTTAAGGTGCAGAGGCTGACCTCCTGCCTCCGGAGCCTCGACGACTCTGGCCAAGTGGGAATGTGAGTGAGTGTGGCAAGGGGAGGGGACCATAGTGACTCTTCTGCAAGGAAGGGGAGTCCAGTTGCCTGCAACCACGATGCACCCCTCTGTCTCCTCCCCACACAGCTCACTCCCTGCTCTGGCACCTACTGTTCACTCAGCCCTGGACGCCTTCTCCGCACATCCCCGGCCCACTCACGCTGATCCTTCCCTACAAAGTAGATGTGAGTTCATCAGCTTTAAATGTTTCAAACACACAAACAAGATTCAAGCTTTAAACCATCACAGGCCTGAGGGGAGAAGGGAGAAGGCGAATTTGGGCTGCACATGCTGGGTGACAGGCCCTCCCCACAAAGGCGAGGAAGGGAAAGATTTGGGAAGGAAGCAAAGCTGGGAAGGTGCAGGAGTGGAGCAGTCAAGACACTCAGTGTGGGAAGGACCAGGTGTCCACCAGGCCAGGAAGCACAACTTCACTCAGAGCTGTAGGATGGGACAGGGAATTCTTGCAGCTCGAGGAACACCGCAAGTGGCAGAGCCTGGACTGGAACCAGGAAGGCCCGACTTCAGCCCAAGTCCGCCTCCCCAGGCCTCTGCAGGTACCAAGGTTCTCACTGAGGTCCACGCGGGGTAGAGCCCTATGCCCTGCCCCCCAATCCAAGACTAGAAGGTGCCCAGGACAAGGCTCGTGGAGCAGCACCCAGGACTGAGGCCTCGTAAGCCCTGCCACCTGCTGCCGCGTGACCTGGGCAAATCGCTCCACCACTCTGGCCACCACTGCCCAGCCTCAAGATAAGGACAAAAAGCCCTCACTGCCCTCCCGCCCTACAGCTCCCCATCAGAGGTATCCCGTGCACACCATCACTGTTACGGTGACCGCAGTGTGGCCCCCGGGAGCGCAACAGTGAGGAGCCTGATGTGGGGAAGCCTGGGGGCTCACCGTCAGGGGCCCCTCACACTCGGGGCCTGTGGGACCCGGCAGGAGGCTCACTGGCCAGGCTAGACAAGGGGCAGGGCAGGTCTCCTCAGGCCTTCGCCTCCTGCCTTCCCAATAAGCCCACAGGCCCACAGTGAGGAACGCCAAGGAGCACATGGAAGCAGGCAGGATGTTGGGATGGGGTGTAGAAATCTTCAGTAGAGAGGACAGGCTGACAAAGAGATATGACATCAAGGGGGTGTCTGTCCCTAGGCCTGACCTATCACTGACTGCCAGGAATGAGAGGAGAGATCAGCTGAGGCTACATGGCCCCATCATGCCAGAGGAACCACACTGGCTGCCCCCCACCGGGCCCAGGAAAGGGGACTGTGCCAGCAATGACTTGGACACATAAATACATACATATACACACACATGCAAAGCAGGCTAGCTCACAGGCAGGCTAGAAAATGGCTGGGTGGCCTAGGGAAAGGCCTTAACTCCTCTGTTTTCTGCACCCCATTTTTCTCCTCTTAGAGAGAGATGCAAATGATAATAAAAGAGCTAACACTTAAGGATGAGAAGGTTGGATGGCATCACCGACTTGATGGACACGAGCTTGAGTAAGCTCTGGGAGTCGGTGATGGACAAAGAAGCCTGGTGTGCTGCAGCCCATGGGGTCGCAAAGAGTCGGACACGACTGAGCAACTGAACTGAACTAAACACCTATTTAGCACTGAAGATGTGCTAGGCACTATTCTAAGTGCTTGATATACATATTAATTCATCTGGTCATTCTGACAATGTAAGAAGCAGAGTCCTATTGTCCTTCCTATTTTAGAGAAGGAAGCTAAAACATGGAGAAGCTAAGAAACTTGCCCAAGAGAACCCCTTGGAGAAGTGGGGCTGGAACACAGCAGTTTGGCTCCACGCTGCTGCCATGTGCCCACTTAGGATGCATGAACCATCTCTTAATTTAGAGAGCTCAAGGGGAGACTGCCACCTCTCCCAGGAAGGCAGCCGAGCTCTTAGCACCTGCTTTACTTTTACATGTATATTTCTTTTTAATGGGTGGGGAGGGTATGAATGTCCAAGGTCATGAAGTCCCTGAGGAGGCTGAGGACATCTTCCAGCAAAGCCAGAGGGTTAGAGCTGGTCTCGGGTACCCCTTACTGAGGCCTCTGTGAATGGGGCAGAGAGGGGCGGGGACCTGGATTTTTTGACCAAAGCCCCAGTAGAGGACAGAGACCTGGATGGAGACCCAGTTGGGCCCTGCTCTGTCCGACCCTGGGCCCGTTGCTTCTGCAGGCACCAGTTTTCTCCTTTGTGAAGTGGGCCAGGAGTGGAGAGAGGGTCTGAGACCCCTTCCAGATCTGCCTCAAGAGTCTCTGAGGCTGTGCTGTCATCCTGGGCTGCTTGGGTGGGAGTGAGCTCCCCATTGCAGAGGCATTCCAGCAAAGACCACTCCCAGTCTGGAAGCCAGGACTGGCAACTTTCACGGGACTCTCGGGCAGCAGGATGCCAGCAGCAACCCACCAAGCATGAAGCTCTGGCTTCCTCCAGAGGCTCCCGGCTCCCTGGAGTGGGAGAAGGAGCCGGCCCCCCTCAGGAATGTGCTTGCCTGTGTCGCCTGGCATGCCGTTCCCATAGCTTTTCCCTGAAGGCGCCCTGGCCCCGGGGGACACCGAGCCAGCTGTGCCTGCTGGCCTTCCTTCCTGCAGACCAGAGCTGCTTTACTCTCGCTGTCCAGGAGAGGCAAATGCCCAGGCCTTCCCTGGCCTCCTCCGTGGGCACTAGAGCTGGCACTGACCTGGCTGCTGCAGGCCCAGGGGAAGGAGGGCTGGTCCTCCCTGCAAGGAGGAGAGACTCCTGGCAGCCACCCCCTCGCTCAGGCTGTTCCCTCCTCCAGGATGCCCTCCATCCCTCCCTCTTAAACAACTTCTCAGTCTTCAGGGCCCAGATGAAACCTCTCCCTTCTGTCAGGCTCTCCTGTGCCCACAGGCCCAATGGAGTTTTTCTTCTAATGGGCTTCTCTGGAGCTCTGTGCAGCCTTTATTACCACTTTATTCACCCTCCTCATAGCAGTTCCACCCGTGTCTTTCTCCCCCATGAGCCTTGACTCCTGAGAATGTCATTTCTTCCATACACCCAGAGTTGGACAAACAGGAGACCCATAGCAGGTGCTCAGAAGACAACCGTGGAACTGAAGAGAACCAGGGCCTGTCCCCGCATCCCAGAGGACAGTTCATCGTCACAGATGCCTCCCTTAGAGCACAAGTATTTCTCAAGGCTCCTCCCCTTCCCTCCTGCGTCCCAGGCTCTGGGGATGGCTGGTATTTTCAGCCCTGTGAATCCTACAGAAGCAACTGAGGCCCAGAGAGGGATGTGCGTGCTCAATCTCACACATAGCAAGGCTGGTCTCTGGAGTCCCAGAGCACAAACTCCAACCACATATCATCTAGCCCGGCCACCCATGCCTGCTGTCGGGGGAGAAGGCAGAGGGTTGGACTTACCCCAGCATCCAGAGATCAGCACAGAAAGCCAGACCACGAGGCAGTTGGAGGCTGCGTGGCACCTCATGGCTCCTGAGGACAAAAGGGGGAGAGGGTGAGAAGCTGCCTGTTGGAGCCGCCCTGTTCTCCCAGCCCCTCCAGCACTGCCCACCCCTGCTGCTCCCAGGAGAACTGGGTCTGAGACAGGAGGAGAGGGAATTGAGGCAAATGGGGGTTGGGGGTGGGGAGAGGGCATGGGGAGGAAGAGACGGTCTGCAGCCTGTGGTTTTGTCATCGTCCAACGCTGGGTATAGCACAGCAGCCTGAGAGGGATGGAGATGAGGGCAGGGGCAACAGTCTCCTCTTTGCCCTCATGGAGGCGCATTGCATGGCCTGTGTGCAGAGCTCGGAGGCACAGAGACAGGGCTGTGACATACACTAGGCTCCATGGGTGGAGGAAAGGGCTGCTGCCTGCCATTCTAGGATAGCATCCCTCAAGAGCAATGGAACCTGGTGGGGACAGTTAGGACACAGGCGCTGAGCGGGAAATCAGGGATCTCAGTGTGGCTTGCAGGCCCACCGCTCCGACCACCCCCCTCCCTCAGCCAAAGTGCCCAACAAGCATGTCCTTTCCTGTTTTTATATCTGCATATCATCTCATAACCTTGGATATGAAAGGACGCACCAGGCCACAGTATCCAAAGAGGCACGGAGCAGGGAGGTAACTTGCCCAGGGACCCCAGCAAGTCTGTGAGAAGTTGGATCTGGATTTTTCTGTCTAGCTAAGCTCTAGAGAGATTTGGGATCCAGCAGCCAGAGGCTCAGCAAGGCAGGCTCCTATCTCTAAGCCTTCAGATGTGGGGCTTTGCCCCACCCTTGAAGCCCAGCCCCATGACAGCAGGGCCATGGTCTCTGGTTCCTTTTTTTGACTACAGGCCTCCCTGGAGCCCTGCAGTGACACCGAGAGGCCCACACTCCTCAGCTGGGAATCCCTGCCTCCCACTAAATAGTCTGTTAGTGCTGTCCCACCTCCGTGTCTCAAGTCAAGCCCACTCACCTCCCCATCCCCACGGCCCAGCCAAGGGTCCACACACCCTCCTTCAGGCAGCACTTACTATGCCCCTCGCCTGGGAGGCATTACCCTTCCCAGTTCATAAGGGTCTAGAGGCTGAGAGCCTTAACAATTTGCTCAGAGACCCCCAACTAGTGAGTGGTGAGGTCAGCATCTGGACCCAAGGTGACGTGCCCCCTGCCTCATCAATACGTGATCAGGAAAGCCCTGGGGAGGTGGGGGGAGCTGAAGAAAAGGCCTTTGGGGAAAAAACTCCAAAACCCCGCAAAAACCCAAGCCGGGGGCCTCAAAAAAGACCCAAAAGAAAAGCCCCTGGGTCCGGAACTGGAACCAACCCCCCCCCCCAACCCCAAGCCGAAGGCAAGAAGGAACCCGGCCCAAAACAAAAAAAAGGGCCCAAGGGAACCCCGGGTTCCCCGGAAAAACGGAACTAAAAAGGTCCAAATAACAAGGAAGAAAAAAAAAAGGGGGAAAAAAAAAAATCCAAAAAGGTTTCAAAACAAAAAAAAAAAAAAACCCCATCATAGCCCTATATTGCCACCCCTTTGTGTTTCCAAAGGTCAAGAGCCTATCCCAGGGGCCAAGCAGGGCACAGAAATGAGGAGACCCAGTGGTGGGGAAGACGGCCATTCGGAGGCCACGTGCTCTGTACAAAAGCAACCGCTGCTGATGTGTTTCAGCCAAGAGGGAATGTGGGCCCAGTGTGCCTGGAGCTTCCGAGTGTTCTCAATGAAAAGCTGGAAATTTGGCTTTTACTATGAATTCACTTTTTACATGTTGGCAAATAATTCCATTTTCATGAGCCAAACATGACCCATCTGATGGCCAGAGCAGGCAGCTTGGGCCCGGTATGCATCCTGCAAGGCCTTTCTCACGACCCAAGCAGATCCGTTCACACTACAGACACACATCAGTGATGTGGCTGCTGTTTCTCTTTAGGATGATGGAGATACCCTCTGCACAAAAGAAACTCACTTTTCTCATGTCATGATAATTCACACATAACTCTCCAGGTCAACACTGCCATATCCACCTCCTCCATTTTCAGAGCTGGGTAACAGCTCATGGCATGGATGTTCTGTTATGGAGACAAACAGCCCTATTGTTGGGCATCTGGGTGTTTCCAGGTTCTTGCCACACAGGCAATGTCGCAGTGGACATCTCTCCACATGTAACTGGGTTGGGACTTTGCTCTTAATCTTAGTTCTCCAATAGTAGCATTAATGGGCCAATTAAATACAACACAGAGCACATATGTAAACTTCTCTTAGACATTGTCATATTACCTTCTGAAAGGCTGTGGCAATTCCCACTCCCTCCAACAGTGTATGAGAGGGCCTCTGCGCCCACCTGGAAGTCATCCCTCTTTTAAATGGTTGCCAATCGGATGCATGAAAAACGGTATGGCCTTGTTGCTTTAATTTGCATTTCCCTAACTGCCAGCAAGGTTGAACACGATGCCTTTTTCTAAATGTTCAAACCACTTTCCATCTGTTATCTTGTGTTAGCCTATCATATCCTGAGAAGAAACTAGCCAGCACTGCTAGCATTATCCCTGATTTACAAGTGGAGAAACCGAGGCACAGAGCAATTAAGTGACAATCTGACATCTCACAGTGAGTGAGTGTCTTTTAAAAAAAATCTCCAGCTCTCTGCCTTTGGAAACCAGCTGTTATGAGAATTAAACAACATCTGCTAAGAAGATCATCCACAAATAGCTGGGAGTGCACACGTTCTGCTGGGTGTTGCAGGAAGTTCACAGTGGAAGGAAGGAAGGAAGAAAATGAATGAACACTTACTGGGATTTTCACAGGTACGACTTTATTCAGTCCTCCCAAATCTCTCTAAAATGTAGATATTATAGTCCCCATTTTATAGATGAGGAAATTAAGACTCAGAGAGGTCACCTAGGATTGGACCTGAGTCCCACACCATTTCCATCACACCTTGCTGGGATTCCCAGGTGGCGCTAATGGTAAAGAACCCACCTGCCAATGCAGGAGAACTAAGAGACATGGGTTTGATCCCTGAGTTGGGAAGATCCCCTGGAGGAGGGCATGGCAACCCACTCTAGTATTCTTGCCTGGAGAATCCCCATGGACAGAGGAGCCTGGCAGGCTACAGTCCATGGGGTCACAAAGAGTCAGATATGACTAAAGCAACTTAGTGTGCACACACACACACATGCACACACACTCACACACGCGCTGCTGCCCACCCCCACCCCGCCGACCCTGTTTCCTAATCTATAAAAGAGGAAGCCGTGGCCCCTCCCTCAAGGAGGACAATACACAATACCACAGACGCAGGATGAATGTGACACAAAGAAGTGAGTGCGTGTGCACAACACACAGGTGTATATAATGCAACTCCCTTTCCACATGCTGGCTTAGGCTCTGACGCTGCTGGGTAGGCACCCTGTCCCCATCCTCTCTCCTTAAACATCTGTCTCCCCTTCAGAGGCACTCACACTGCCTCAGTGTCCCCCTCTGTCAGTCAACGGCAGCCAGGTATGCTCTCACTCGGCAGGATTGGCAAAAACCACCTTGGGAGCATCTCAAGCCAGGACAATCTGCGCTCCATCCTGACTCTCCATCCTCCCTTGGGGCAAGGCAGCATGGACACTAGGTCGGGAAGCACAGGCTCCAAAGGGTAAAGCAGAGCGGCCAGGACAAAGTGGGTCCATCCCACCACTGGGTTTTCCCAGCGATCCCAGATCTTACCCTTCCTTTGGTTCCTTCGGCCACGAGGAGGAAAGCAGGGTCCAGAGAGAACAGAGGGTGGTGGCTGTGAGAAGAAGCACCTGGGCCCCCACCTCCAGGTCAGGTGTCGCAATGATGCTGCATTGGCCTGCCAGCATTCCCTCAGTGCTGGGGCTGCAGCGAGTGGCATGGATCCCCTGGGAGAGCCTGACCTCGCTCCACCCTATGCAACAGCTGTTCCCCCAGCCTCCTGGCCCTCTGCCCTCCCCCCAGCAGAGCTACATGGCCTCCTCCACCCTGGGAGGCTGTGCCTCTCTGAGCTCCCAGCAGCCCCCACCTGTCCCTGTTGGACCAGGAAACCCAGACACACACCCTTCTGTGCTGGGCTTCTTGTCTGACCTGGGATAGGTGCCAGAGAACTGCCCCAGAGGTACAAGCAGGGTTAGAGCTGTCTGCCCCAAAATCCACTCTGGCAGGAAGCTTTCCAGAAATCTCTGAAACATACCCACTGCCAAGAAGATCCAAAGCCCTCAGGCTGCCAATTCCAGCAACTATTTTCATGCCAAGCCCAGTACCAGGCACTGTGGGAGGATAGGAGCCATGAGAATGGCTGCAAATGTGGGTGAGGTACCAAATAAGCAATAGCGCCTGTCGCTGTCCAAGGCCATGTGAACGGAGAACTCTCGAGCCTTCCCGAAGAGCTGAGATGTGAGCTGCACAGAGTTCAAGAGGCAGAATGTCAACGTCTACTGAGTGCCTATTACGTGCCAGCCACTGCGGTGTACAGTATGTTCTGCACTCTGGGGCTCAGAAAGGTAAAGCTTAAGGTCACAGAGCTAGTAAGTGGCCAAGACCAAGGTCTCCTAGCCTCAGCCCCAACCCTTGCTGAGCTCAGACATGTGTCCCAGGGCAGGCCCAGGGTGAGGGACTGGTAGGAAGGCTCTGGGCAGGATCCTGCATCTACTCAGAGGCCAGGAAGTCAAGCCTGGGTCAGAATCCAACATGGTCCACAGCCACAGTATATAGGAGCCAGCAGCAAGGCCAAGTTAATGTGCCAGGAAGAAAAGGCACAGTTAGGGCTGGCGAGCAGGATCCTGTTTCCGCTGTCCCTCCATACTGTTGGCATCTGACAGACATTGCTCTGGAACCAGTACCAACAAGAGAATGCATGCACCACCAGGGTGACCAAGTCCCCTCCTCTGCACCCTCCTGTCTCCTCCAGCACCAGCCCTGAGAGGTTAACACATTTGTCCCTGGAAGGAGTGGACAAAAAACTGTCCTAGATTCAAGGCAGCACCCCCTCCCCACCCTGGACTTCA